CTACTCTCATCCTCCCCAACAAAATTGCTGAAATTCAATCATCATCGCAAATTTCATGAAATAAAAGCTGATCTTAACAAATGGGATTGAGAATCCTTCTCATGGCATGACCGATTCCATCTTGTTAAATCATTTGTTCTTCCCAAACTCATATTTCTCTTTTGAACAATACCTTGAAAAACTCAAGATATTGGCAAACGACCATCAATAACTTCCTTTGGAAAAACAAACGTCCGCAAATTAGTTTAAAGACACTGAAACTGAGGATGATGGAAGGAGGCCTCAACTACCCTGACATTGCCACATATTATAAGTCAGTTCTACTATCAAACATTGCAAAAATCTTAAATTCTAACGAACAAGCACACTGGACCAATGTTCCCTCTAAGCTGTGGAGTCTTGTGAGCAAAAATTCTATTTTGTGAGCTACTGGCATTAAACTTGTGAGCGAGCGATTTGGCCACTGCATAAATTAGTTTGCTCTGGAGCCATCCTTCCTGAGCTAAGACAAAAACATGTGAGCTGGAGGCTAAAAAACTGTGAGCTAACTCACACTAACTCAGCTTAGAGGGAACACTGCACTGGACCTTAACACTAGATCCCATCCTGCATCCTCTCACTCTGCAAGATGCCATCTGGACAGAACCCTCAGCACACCCGGAAAGGCTTCGTAATAACATCTTTATTACAACTGTTCTCAAACCATGGGATACCTACTAGGGGTGTGCAGGGGAAAAATCATTTTTTTCGGATTCAAGTATAATAAAGCTGATCCCCCCCCCCCCAGGATTCCTGAATATACCCGAATACCAATTCCAGTATTCTATTGGTACCCGAAAATGTTTGATATTTTTCGGCTCCATTATATCCTATGGGGCCATTGTAGTCAGTGGCAAAAATCTCCTAACAAGTATTCAGGGGGCTGGGGGAGAGGGGGTTTGAGGTAGAGGCACCAATTTGTACTGTAGCTGCTGGTGCCTCTCCCCAAAAGACCCCCAAGTTTGGAAAAGATTGGACCTGGGAGTCAAATCCTAGAGGCATCCAAAGAGGGTGCCCCAATCCTCCGTTGTTTCCTGTGGGAATGAAAAAAAGGCAGGCAGCAGTATCTCCCCAAGAAAGCCGAAACCCCCTCGAACATTTTTGGGTTTTTTCCGGCATTCAGTATTCAGCATCTTAATCAGCTCAGGGGATCTGATTCAGTATGCTGAATACCCGAAAAATGCTGGAAAAGTTTTTTCAGGTTTTTTTAAATTTAGCTTTACCGAATGCACACCCCTATTACCTACAAACAAAGGCTAATTTTAAAGTGCTCAAGATTTTCCTCTTTCTTATTCCAAACTTAGAGACAAAACGTCAACAAACTTAGAGAAAAAGCATCAACAAAAAATTCCATGGTTCTTTTATCTACAGTTGCGAGATATGGCCACCACCCTATGACTGTCTGATATCCTACACTCATCGTTCACCAACTTTGAAGACATACTGAACTCCGACGACACTAACTCATGAGGTCTCATCAGGAAACTATATCATAGCCTACTTCAACGTAAATCTGTTAAACCTTTGCCCTACCAACTTGTCTTTGTCTCGAGATTGTGGAATCACCATCACAGATGCTCAATGGTCTAATATTTGGCAGGCTTCATTAGCATCCTCATTATCTGAACATGTTAGACTACAGTCTTATAAAATTCTATCCAGATGGTACATCACACCTAAGAAGATGGCCTTGATCTCTTCTTCTAACTCAGCACTCTGTTGGAAAGGCTGTGATGGCACTGGCACATACACCCACTGTTGGTGGCAATGCCCAAGTATAAGAACCTTCTGAAGTAACATTCTTACACATATCAAACAAATTACAGGATACTCACTTCCTTTACTCCTGGAATCGATCTTTTTACAGCACATTCAAAAGCCTTCGATTCCCAGAATAAGATGGGACCTTATCCAAAGCTTACTGACAATTGCCAAAACAGTGTTAGCATCATATTTGAAATCGCCTTCACTACCATCTATAGACGTATGGTTTTCAAAGATTTGGGATCATCTGATAATGGAGAAAATCACTGATAAGCTACTTCAATCAGATCTCTATCCTGGGAGAGTGTCATTCGAAGAGAAATGGTTTTCCTTTTTTTACTACATACTCGCGCAAGATCTACTACCTTCTAATCCAATATACTGACAAATGCTTTCACTTTAACCTGGTTCTCTTTATCATCTTTAACTCTCATCATACTACTTTATCTTTTTCCATTTACTTATTATTTCTTTTTCTTTCCCCTCTTCATTTCCACAGGTCAACAGTCTTCATTTCCACAGTCAAGTGATCTTAATCAATGTGCCCCGAGTATACCACTCCACGCTAGCTCAGCAGCCACATGGCTGCCTTATCACAATAAACCGGCAAACAGTGTTTTATTTTTCTAGATCTTATTTTTCTAGATCATATTGTCAATTACTGGGAACTGCAATGTGTAGTTATCATTAGATGATAATATATTAGTTTTACCAAATGCAGTAAATTTAATGTTTAATATTAATCTCGTAATCTTGATATATCTTTGGACTTTGACATATATATATATATATATATATATATATATCTTCCTGTTAATTTTAATTTTTATATATAGCAATATTTTTTTTTTAATCATCTGCCATGACATTTTTTGGCACATGTGCCAGAGAGGGCCTGTAAGCAATACCGGAATGATGCTTGTTTCATGACAGTATTACGGAAATATTTCTAAAGGTGGAATCTAAGTTTTTGTTTCCTCTAGAATTCCCACAGGGAGGTACTGTGTGACTGTAGCTGTCAAGAGTGATTTGCCCAGGTCTGTTTTGAAAATCCACCTTGTACATAAGTGGGTAAATGAAAAAGTAAATTTGCCAAATGGCTTTCTGGCCATGGTGATTATGAATGGTTTACATGGTGTTATAATGAGGCAATTTAGAAGGCAGATTAAAAAAGCAAGAGGTCTAACTTTGGCTCTATACTCTCTTTTCTGTTCATCAGTCCTTCAGGACAAGTGGGTAGGCAGGAATCATGAGCTGCCGTTTACAAAGGATTTTCCTTGAACGTAGGAATCCTTGGATGGCCAAAGACCGCTACCCCAAATCAGAACAATGTGTCCATCCAGAATTTTTCTGTCACTTCATTGCAAAGAAATATCAGTATTTAACCCAAGTTCATCTGATTGTAAAGTCACTTCATGACAGTGAATTTCAGTGCAGAAGAGAAAAATGGAGGATTGGCTCAAACAATCCGAAAGATACAAACTATTTAAATGCAGGGGGAAATACACAGAGAATGGGTGTGTGTGTGAATTTGATCTGTATGCCTCAACTTTGAATAAAAAGAGTTTGGTTGTACAAGGAAGATTATTAAGTGATATGGGAGAACAGGAGGAAGAGGTAATAGATTCAGAGAGAAAATTTTAATTAGATGACTTTGGCGCTCTGTCTTACAGAAGATGTTTAGATAGAATGCAGCTACAACAATGCTGGATACGTTGTGACTTCTCATGCTACTTGATGAAGTGCTGGTAGTGTTATGAAATACCGTAAATCTGTTGCTGATCTCTGAAATGGGCATCCATGGAGCACCCACCATTATTATTTTTTTGCTGCATCAACTAGGCCTAATAGTATCACTCATTTTTAAATACAAGGCCATTGCGGTACATTCCAATCCGTTATAAGAGTTTTTGATGATCTTTGTCAGGCTCTCTTAACATATCAGAATTCTCTTCTCTACTTTTCTAATCCCCTTATAATGAAAGAAACCATATAAAAGACTACTGAACATTACAGTCACGTTAGGTGTACTTAACTAGGGATTACAATGGGTAAGAACTGTCCAAAGTCCAATTTATTAGGAATGATGGAATGAAAGATAGGTTTCTGTGTTGCAGATTTATAAGAATATTTCATAGGAGAAGTAGACACTGGCTGACTTAAACTTTGCCTTCCAAAACTGAAAGGTGAAAGCCAATAGAATGAGAAGCTCTAGAAACTTGCTGGTACACCATGATATAATAGCCTTTTCAAGATGTGGGGCATGTACCTTTGCTCATGAAGTACCATGTTACAGAATAGGCAGCCTCTCTATCTTGAAGTTATCTGGCCGAAGAGTTGTCCTGTTGAGTCTCTCTGCAGTCATAAATAATATATTGTAGGCGGTCCCTGTTGGCCTCAAATGGGCTTTCCAGGCACAAGTAAGTTGAGGGACTGCAGATCAGGATGGCTTTGTTCAGTGCCTCAAATCATAAACAGTGTTAATGTTCCATCCAAATTGTCCTTTGTTATTACCTGCTATCAGGGGTCATTTTGTAGAAAAAGAGGTGCAGGAGCTCATTAGCATAACTCATTAGCATAACTTATTTGCATCTGCCACACCTGAAGTGTGTCAGCAGGCAACACCCACCGCTCAGGCTCCACTGGACTCTTTTGGATTGCTAGCTATTGGGGGGGGGGGATGGACGTACAGATCTGTCCTCGCAGAGGAGGGAGAGCTTGTATCTGAAGAAAACTTGGTCTTAAAGGTGCCACTGGACTGTTTTGGGCCAGGGGGGGCTCTGCAACTTACCTGGCTGCTTCTTGCTCTGACTGAGGGCTGCTGGGAGTAGGGGGTGGGGCTTGTTGCATATCCCCACCCCCTAGGCTCCTTATTGCCGGAGCTCCGCTCCTGTGTGCTCCTGCAGGAAATGACCCCTGCCTGCTATCTTCAGTATAGCATGACCTGCAACCTGAGATTTGTTCAAAGGCCCCACTGGTTTCTTTGGGTTGCGAACTACCCAGGATGATGCTATCCAAGCTTTTCTCTGTGGAGTAGTTCCCATTATCAGTTTTGAACAGGTTGCTTTTCCCTTTTGCAATACTCTTTTCTGGTCTGCATGGGTGGGTGTTCAGAATAAAACAGTTCGTTTGTTTGTTTGGAGCAAATATTATTTTCTTGATCTGCTTCAATTGTCTATCCCCCTTTGTATTCTCAGAAGTCTCAGTGTTTCACCTTTGAAGATGAGGAACAAGAAGAAAGGAAGGCAAGTTGTTTTCTTATTCTGTCTGTGGAATGCTTTGGGGTTTGTGAAATCATGCTGACTGGCTGAGGGAGGGAGGTGGTGCCACACTGGAATGAAATCACATATTGGAAAAGTACTGGGGAAGAAACAGACAGGGTTCTGTGCCAGTGGTCTTCAACCCGTGGGTCAGACCCCTTGGGCAGATTGTAGAGCCTCACCTGCTGGGTCACAAGCCCCTTCCCTAGAGCCACCGGGTTTTTTGCTGCTTTTTTGAAGGACCTGCTGCTCACGCACATGCAGAGACAGCAAAGGTGCCATGCCTCTTGCCTCTCTTTGTGCTCATGCTAAGAGGAGCAGCATGGTGGTAAAGGGAAGTGACTTTGTGGTGGAGAGGATTCCTCCCTGGCTCGTTCTTCACCATGGTAGGCTTTCGAGTGTTTGGCTTACGTTTCCTGTCCCTGGCTCTGCCTGTCAATGGTCCTGGCCTTGATATTTGATGAGGTTATAATTCTTGTCATGTGACTCCGATGTCATGTGCGGCAACCTGTGGGTTAAGACTGGGCAAGGGCGAAGACCTCTGTTTTATACCATGCTGTAGCCTGAAGAAATGCAAAACCTATTCACACACCTTTGCTCTCTTTCTAGGGCTAATTGGGCAGCTGCTGCTCTGCGCAAGATGAAGCATTTTGCACATTTCAGCCTATGCGTTAATAATGACATAGGTAAAAAGGTAAAGGGTTCCCTTGCTCGAAAGCCGGTCAAATCCGACTCTAGGATTGCGGTCAGTGTTCCCTCTAAGCTGAGTTAGTGTGAGTTAGCTCACAGTTTTTTAGCCTCCAGCTCACACATTTTTGTCTCAGCTCAGGAAGGAGGGCTCCAGAGCAAACTAATTTATGCAGTAGCCAAATCGCTCGCTCACAGCTTTAATGCCAGTGACTCACAAAGTAGAATTTTTGCTCGCAAGACTCCGCAGCTTAGAGGGAACATTGGTTGCGGTGCTCATCTCCGTTTTAAAGCCGAAGAGCCAGCGCTGTCCGAAGACGTTTCCGTGGTCATGTGGCCGGCATGACTAAACACCAAGGCGCACGGAACGCTGTTACCTTCCCACCGAAGTGGTACCTATTTATGTACTTGCAATGTCTTGCTTTCGAACTGCTAGGTTGGCAGGAGCTGGAACTAGAAACGGGAGCTCACTCCGTCATGCGGCACACTCGGGTCTCAAACTGCTGAAAGCTTATTCTTGGTAGAATTTGCACACGACTGGCTGGCCACTGCATGGAAATGACAAGTGCAAATGGCTACCACATGGGTCATGTTTGCGTGAATTGGCTGTGTGTCTTGAGACATAACACTTGGATAGTTGAGCACCCAGAACCTGTTGCATTCAGGGTCAGTTCCTGTGCAGTTGTCCGTATGAAGTTGTCTTATCAGATCGGAGCACTGGTCCTTCTAGTGCAGCACTCTCAGTAGCTCTCTGGAGTTTTGAATGTTGGTGCCTTGTCTTCCTTTTAAGAAAGGATGCCAGGGATTCCGTCTGGGGTTTTCTGCTTGCAAAACATGGGGTCTGCCAGGGCCCATGTTGGTCTGAAGGCAACTGTTTTGCCTCGAAACAGGCCTGGATCACAGCAGTGCCTGCACACAAGGTCACTTGGGAAACTTTGTAACACTGCTTTGAATTTCATGGGAAGATAGCAGGATGTAATTTATTTATTTTACTGAGCAGTGGCCCCTGTTTTTGCTCTTTGAAGTCATTAAGAATTGCAACGAAGGGTCAGATTGATCATCCATCAATAGCAGCCATCTACCAAGAACGACCAGTTAGGTGCCTTGGAGAAGTTCACAAACAGGGTCTTAGTTTCCTGTTGTTAATCCCCAACACTCTATAGTCAGTGAATAAGACCTGTAAATAGGGATGTTGGTTTTGTTTTTTTTACTTCTATGGCTGATAGCCACTAAAATACTGGGGCTCCTCCATTTATCCACCAGATCCTTTCATCAGCCATTTATGCTTGTGGCTACTGCAGTAACCTGTGGCAATAAGTTCCATTGGGTTAAGTGAATGTTGTGTGAAGAAATACAGTGGTTGGTTTATCTGGCTATGGATTTGGATTTTCAGGCCTTCATCCGGAGGTGTTTCCTGCCATAGCCATGTACGAAGGGAGAACAATGAAAGCTGTGTATGGGTCCACTAAATAACACTGTCAAAGTCAATAATTACAAGATAGATCGTGTGAGAGATCCAAAATCATATACATGTGCAAAAAGAGGTCCAAAACAATAGCGTTAACGAAGTTTTCCGGATTACAAAATTGTTTTGTAGTCTCCATCTGAACAGGACCCTGTGATTCTCTGTTTTTGTATTGCCATAGCCATGTGACACCAACAAATGATGCAGATGCAGCATTTCCTGCTTTGTGGCTTGCCAGTACCTTTGCCCAGCCTCCTGTGTTGTCTACTTGTATCAAAGTGGGCATGAGACAAAGGTAGCCAAAGAGTTTAGGAGAGCAGCAGGACAGGATTAGCCGCAAATATATATACCTTTTTTTTTTTTAGCCCCCGGAGGGGATTTTTTATTGCATTTTCTATAAACTGCAATGAAAAAAAGGGAAGGGAAAGCTAAATCTATGGGAGAAAGGAAAGAAACCAAACTAAAAACCCAAGAATAGGAGATCATTATGATAGCTTGTATCAGTGTTAGTCTAAAATGCTATTGAAAGCATAGTTGATCAAGCTGTATTATTTATCTTTAAAACCATTATTTTCACTATTTAAAGAAAATCACAAGAGCATCATTAAAAGCCTTAAGGCATAATTCAGAGTTCTTCAGCCTTCATTTTGTTTTATCTTTTCTAATCCAATATATATCATTCTGTTATTGTAGAGTTTCATTTCTCCCAAGTGAAAACTTGGCAACTCTGTTGTAAATTTATATGGATGGTCTTGAATATTTAAGACACATTGTTATCACAGAAAATCCCAAAGTGTAATGTTGGAAGGAGAAGCCGCAGTTGGCGACAGAGAACAGTTGTTGCATTTAGAAGGTCTCATGTTTAATACTCGGAACCTCCAGTTAGAACTGGATGAAGGCCTGAGGCCTTGGAAAGCTGCACCCAATCAGAATAGACAATAGTGGAGTAGGAGGACCAGTAACTTGGCACTGTTGAAAGTAGCTTCATATGTTCATAATGTCAGGACTCGGGAGACTAACTTGCATGTCTGTGTTTGAAAGACAGTGTGTGTATGTGTAGACAGATAGAAAGATAGATCGATAGATAGAGATCCACACACACACACACACACATATACACACAAACTGCATCATTGCGTCTTGCAGTTTGCTGGTTCAGATGTAACAGTGTGTGTGTATGGAGTACAACCTAGAATTTACATTTTTACCTGTGAAATTCTTGCATATTTTACCCTTCTGGTATTGCATCATAACACATCTTAGCATCCAGGTTGCTGTATCCACCAACATACTCATGACATTATGAATGTTATAAAGCGGTGTCTTGCAAATTATACACCTACCTAATCGATCTATTATTTCTTGAACATTAAATTTATGTGAAAAGAAAGTCCTTTCTTCAGAAGAAGAGCAACTATAATAAGGAATTAAAAGTTCACCTCCTTCCTGAGCTCTCCTTGAAGAGGCAGCGTTTCTAAGCCAATTACACTGAGCTACTGCAAGTCCTGTAAAGCGGCAGTGTTTGATCTTTTTATAACTATGTGACCATGGCTAATGGAAATGCATCATACCCCTGCTGCCTAAACAGGGTCACACAGAGGCAGGCATATTCTTCATCATACTCAGATGCTAGCTCAGTTGTATGTTTGTTTAGGCAAGCTTTCTCGGACTTGCAAGCATTGCCAAAGTGCAGGCACCCAAAGGACTGATAAAAATACACTCTGCATGAGGTTAATGCATATAAATGGTGTCAATGACTTCCTTGCACTCAGTCAGAGAGGAAGTCTTGGCGTATCTCAGTTTTCTTCTTTTTCCCTAACGTTTCAGCCTGTCTTTCCCAGAATTGAGCCCAGACAGAAATCAACTACCAGTCTTACAGAGAGGACAGTAGTTTATATTCTGAACCTGTTAACCAAAACCAGCTAAAATGTCATATCATCATAAGAACATAAGAAGAGCCCTGCTAGATCAGCCCAGTGGTCCATCTAGTCCAGCCTCCTGTCTCACAGTGGCCAACCAGTTCCCCTGGATGGCCAACAACAGGGCGGAGAGGCCGAGGCCTTTCCCCGATGTTGCCTCCTGGCTCTGGGATTCAGAGGATTAGTGCCTTTGAATGTGGAGGTTTCCCTCAGTCATCATGGCTAATGGCCATTGATACTTATCCTCCATGAATCTATCTAATCCCCTTTAAAAGCTGTTCATTAAAAGCTGGCCATCACTGCATCCTCTGGCAGCAAATCCTACTTTTTAATCGCTCTATGTAAAGTAGTATTTTCTTCAAGAGCCCCACTCCTTATTGTGTTCTAAAATGTCTGTAATTTGGTGAAATTGCACTATGGTTTGCAGAACAAAACCAAGCAAAAATCTTATCGTGTCTTCCAGTTTGCCGATTCAGATGTAACAGTAAAACTGCAGTTTGCTGCAAGAGTGGAAGTCTTTAGTGAAATTGTTGCGTGTGAAGGGTGAGGGGAGGTATTACCTGAGCTGCATCAGTGGTCACAATATTTCCATTGTAGGCAGAGACGGAGTTGAGTGGTGTGGACAGGTTTAAGATACCCTGGAACTAACTGAACCTGTGCAATCCATAGATAAGAGATATGGTCTAATGCTCCTTTCTCATGTAGAATCTCATTCCTTGATTGCTAGACTTACTGTCATTTTTTGTGTTTCCCTTTGAAAACCCTAGAAGCTGGCTATGCTTCTTATCAAGTTCTTGGAGAGAGAACTCCAGCCGTCTTGCCAAGTCACATGCTTGGAAAGCATACGTATCCTGTCCAGGGACAAAGGCTGCCTTGGCCCTTTCTCAACCATGGAGAGCCTGAAGACGCTAGCTAGGCATGCTGGGATTGATTACATGGAAGAACAGATTCGGGAGATTCCAGACCTGGACGTGATCCTGGAGGCACTTAAGTGCCTGTGCAACATTGTCTTCAGCAGCCACGAGGCTCAGGAGCTGGCCTTTGAAGCCCGGCTTGTGGTCGGCCTCACAGATCGCATCAAACTCTACAATGAAAGAAACCTCCCCCACGACATCAAGTTTTTTGACTTGCGTCTTCTCTTCTTGCTGACGGCCCTGAGGGTGGACATCCGGCAGCAGTTTGCGCAGGAACTCCGGGGCATCGGTCTGATGACGGACACGCTGGAGCTCACGCTGGGAGTGAAGTGGATAGATCCCCATGAGGTAGCTGCAGAGGAGAACCCTGCCCTGCCCTTGCCTCGGCAGGAGGCAGAGCGTGCCATGGAGGTCCTGAAGGTGCTCTTCAATATCACTTATGACACCAGCAAGAGAGAGGTGGATGAGGTAAGGCGCCAGGAAATGCTTTGCAGTCTTTTTTTTTTTTTTAATCAGGTATATCCTGATTTACCAAATGAGAAAGGAGCACTCCCTGGAGAAGACCCTGATGCTGGGAAAGATTGAAGGCCAAAGAAGACGGGGACGGCAAAGGATGAGATGGTTAGACAGTGTCATCGATGCAACGAACATGAAACTGAGCCAACTTCAGAGGACGGCGGAAGACAGGAAGGCCTGGCATGATCTGGCCCTTGGGGTCGCGAAGAGTCGCACTCAACTGTGCGACTGAACAACAACATATCTACTTGTATTTAGATTTCTGACCAGAACACCATTTAGGGAGGTGGGCAATTGCTCCCCTCGCGCATGTTTCAAACCACATGTGTTCATTCCACAAGAACTTGCCTCTGTTTAGCCATCTTACTGCTTCTGCTCATTCATTTTGGAGCCTGTCTAAATTCAGCTCATGGAAGTGCCCCTTCCTGCCTTTCCCTTCCTAGCGCAGCCGGAAGGTCCCCCAGAAATGCTGCTCTTGTGAGAGGGAATTGGTACAAATTTCCCACAGGATCCAACACAATATGCTTCTCAGCCATAGGTGGTTACTGAGAAAGGAAGAGGGCGAGCTGGCTGTTAAATTTGTGTGCAGCAGTGATTAAGGCAAGGCATCACCCGGTGTTTGTCTTAACTAGATGGCATAAGGTGTAGAAAACTCTGGTCTGTCTCACTTTCTGGATTAACACTCCATTATGATGGAGAGCTGAAGAAGATCTGCGAGGAAGATGGTTTAAAGTGAACCAGGAGGGAAGGTGAAATGAGAGCTGAACATCTACTCCGGAGAGGTTTTATTTATTTATTTTATTCGTTAGATTTCTATCCCGCCCTCCCGCCGAAGCGGCTCAGGGCGGCTTAAAACAATGATAAAACCAGCATAAATACATACATAAAGTACAACTCAATAAAATAGCTCAGCTCATTTCCAATTAAATAAATACAGTTAAAACCATTTAAATGTGGCGGTGTCATATAGTAAAGTGCAAGTGCAGCACAGCTGATATAGGGTCTTTCCTACTGGAACGCCCGGCGAAAAAGCTCCATTTTCACAGCCCTGCAGAATTGCTGGAGGTCCCGCAGGGCTCTGATCTCGCTGGGGAGCTCATTCCAGAGCGTTGGCGCCACCAGGGAGAATGCCCTGGTCCTTGTTGCCACCAACCTGGCATCTCTAGGCCTGGGGGGGGGGCAGGCGGTTTTGTGTACCAGCTCGCAGTGCTCTCTGGGGAACATGCGGGGAAAGGCGGTCCCTCAGGTAGGCAGGCCCCTGGCCATAAAGGGCTTTTTAAAGGTCAAAACCAGCACCTTGAAGCAGATCCGGAACGCTATTGGTAGCCAGTGCAGCGACTTTAGCACAGGCTGGATGTGCTCCCGCATAGTGAGGCCCATCAACAGCCTGACCGCTGCGTTTTGCACTAGCTGCAGCTTCCGGAGTTGCCACAAGGGCAGCTTCATGTAGAGAGCTGTTTCTGTTATTTGCATGCCACCACTTTATTAGGACCCAGAATTCTTGCATAAAAAGTTTCCAGATTCAACAACCAGACAATGTAAACTCCGCCAGGAAAGCAGTTTGGAAATGTGCAAGGTCCTACAGACCTTGCTTGGCTTCCTTTGTTGTTGGCTATGCCCCCATATTTGTCCCCCAAACTGGGAGCCAAAAACATGAAATTATGTGCAGAGGTGGTATTCTGAGCTTCCAGATGTGATCACCCCACAGATTCTTAGTTTGCACTTTTATCGTGATACATATTCTGTTTAGAGAACAATGAGTGTTTGGTTTAAGACTGCGAAAGAGACACGGGCCCCCCTCTCACAATTGGGCTTTTCGTTTCTGTTTTGGGGCAGGAAGATGCTGCTCTGTACCGACACCTGAGTGCCCTCCTCCGTCACTGCCTGATGATTTCAGCAGATGGTGAGGACCGAACCGAGGAGTTTCACAGGTGAAGACCATTGTTCTGATGAAAGATTTGGATCCCGCTGTGCTCCTTGTCTAGAAGAGAAAGTGGCAGTGCTGAAATGTCCTTAACATTGGCATTTGTGCTGAGGCTTTGCAGCTGGTGTAGAGTGTTCCAGGGATCCATGTTTAAGTTGGCTTCCACATGAAGCTTCCCCCCCACACACACTGTTGCTTCCAAACGGGACTGATTATTTTAAAGCATCCGCCCAGCATCATTCTAGTTCTAGGGTTTCCCTGTTTTCAGCAAACTGCTTCCCAAATCTGCGTTTAGGAAAGAACGCTGTCCATGGGTGTTGTCATGCCATCTGGGCAGAAGGTCCTGCATATATCAGCAGCGCTCTCCTGCCGTCAGCCCCTGGCTGCCGCCCTTTCCCCAACCTTGCCACTGGGGGCTTCCCAAAGGCTTTAGAGAGTTGTTATTTCAAAGCCCTCTGGTGACACGATGGGGACAAAGGGTGGCCACGGAGGACTGATGGCCGGAAAGTGTGAAGGAAACTCCCGTGCGGAAGCTCTGTTGCTGATGCGTTTGCGCCAGCCATGAGAGCGACACAGATCATTCTTGCCCCGTGGAAGCAGCCCATGTCTGACGGATGCTCTGGACTTAATGCATAAGTAATCCAGCCGAATGGGCTTTAAACCTCCATGAGAGGACCAGAAGTGGGCAAGCGTGGGATCTTGTTCTCAAGTTACCAGAGCTGAGAAATTTCATTTGGATACCTGATAAATTTAATTAACAAAACAGGGCTCCATTGATGGTGGAAGTTGCTAAGTCGCTACCCATTTTGCTTTTTGGTGGATGTGCAGCCACACAGTGAACCTCCTGGGCAATCTGCCCCTCAAGTGTCTGGACGTCCTGCTGCTACCCAAAGTGCAGCCGGGCTCACTTGAATACATGGGAGTCAACATGGATGCTGTCAACGTTCTGCTGGATTTCCTTGATCGACGTCTTGACAGGGTGAGTGAAAGAGGGTGGTTTTCACAACTGCGTGTTCCCCCACCTCCACTTTTACCTATGAGATGCTTTCTGTGCTCTTCTGAAGGGCAGGTCTGAGAGCCCGTTTGGTGTCATGGTTAATCTGGGGGAACCAGGTTGGATTCCCCACTCCTCCGCTTGCACCTGGCTGGGTGACCTTGGGCAAGCCCTAGTTCTGATAAGAGCTGTCCTTGAAAAAGAGCCGTTTCTGTCAAGAGCTCTCTCAGCCCCACCGACCTCACAGGGTGTCTGTTGTGGGGAGGGGAAGGGAAAGGAGTTTGTAAGCCGCTCTGAGACTCCCTCGGGTAGTCAATCCAATCTCTTCTTCTCTTCTTCTTTATTAATCCCCATGCTTGGACGATCTGACTCTAGCCTCTGTTTTGTACAGAGGCTGTTACACAGTGATCAGCATCGTAGGGAAGAGGCAGGGTTAGTAAAAACCTTGGGATGGGATGTGAAATATGAGTGGGATGAAAGATTTCACCAGTTGGAGATCAGGTAATTGGTTGGATGGTGGACAATCCATGATGGGTGACTTAAAATGTAATTGCTTCTTTGATTGTTTTGGTGGTGTACTTGGTTGGCTTGAAACTGACATAGCGACCAGTTGAAATGTCAAATGTCACTTAGATTTCCTGATGAGCATTTAGCTGTAGTTAGATGAGTGGCAACTCAAGGAGAAGACCCTTCTCAGTTGGGGTGCTAAAATGATGAGACTCCCTAGAGATATCTGTTTGTCCCATTCGATCACTGCTTTTTTTTGCCAGTAAATGAAGGCTCTTCTGTTTTGTTTTGCCTGGTGTTCCTTCTCCCTGCCTTGTGCTTTAATTGCTGTCCTTTTGTTTTATAGATGTATTTTAGCTCCAGTTTTAACGAGATGCACTTTTATAATCTTTTGTTTTTAATTTGTTAGCTTCCTTAGTGGCCTTATTGGGCAGAGAGGCAAGATACACGTTGTATTTTACTTCATTTATATAGCTGCCTCTCTCACTGAGACTCAAGGCATGTTACAAAATACATTAAACAATTCAATCAGACAGGGTAATATGTCCAATAAGCAAGCAAACAAACAAACACTGTCCAAGGCATAGCGCCAAAAGCAGCTTACAAAGGTAGAAGACAATGAAGTAAGAGAGCAATAGAAAACCATCCAGTCAAACAACACGAGGCATCAAATAAGTTGATTGGACTAGGATTACAAAACAAGGGGAGGAAAGGCAAACAAAATTCTGTGCGAGGCATGACACACCACGGTGCAGAAACTGGACTTCAAAGGTAGAATGCATTAAAAGCAAGGCGATACCTACATTGCAATGCACTACTATCCTATTCCCTTATAAGAGCGTCCTCCTCAGCAGTTCCATTCTACGGCAGTTCTAATCCCTTTGTAAAAATGCCTTTCTGAACATTTCTGTTCTGGATAGTCTGCAAAGTGGAAGAAGTAGGAGGGCCTTCCTAAACTATTGTAAGCAGGGGTCATTTCGTAGAAAAAGAGGTGCAGGAGCTCATTAGCATAACTCATTAGCATAACCTATTTGCATATGCCACACCCCCTGACATCATCGGAAGTGTGTCAGAAGGCAACACCCACCGCTCAGGCTCCACTGGACTGTTTTGGATTGCTAGCTATTGGGGGGGGGGAACGTGCAGATCTGTCCTCACAGAGGAGGGAGAGCTGGTACCTGAATAAAACCTGGTCTTAAAGGTGCCACTGGACTGTTTTGGCTCTACAATTTACCTGGCTGCTGGGAGCAGGGGGTGGGGCTTGTTGCATGTTCCCGCCCCTTGGGATCTTTACTGCCGGAGCTCCGCTCCTGTGCGCTCCTGCAGGAAATGACTCCTGATTGTAAGTAAGATGATGATGATGATGAAGAAACGGGAAGCATTAACAATGATCAGCTCACTTTTTTAAAATCTGCTTTGCTGCCCAGTATACAGGCTTCCAGGGTGTCCCCATAGCCAACTATGTTCCCAGCGATCTGTTTCCCTTTGAGAATCATAGAAAACATTAGCAGGATTCTGGGGGAGGGGAGTGGTTCCAAAGGGGCTTTGATATGATTAGGAGACTAGCTTACAGGTGACTTTCTGATGAGTGGGATTTTCTCTGGGCTGGTTCATATGAAAGTAGAAATTTGTGCATCATAATCCAGGTGATCTTGAGGTAAAAGAAGAAGAAGAAGAGATTGGATTTATACCCTGCCCTTCACTACCCAAAGGTGTCTCAGAGCGGCTTACAAACTCCCTTCCCTTCCCCTCCCCACAACAGGCACCCTGGGAGGTAGGTGGGGCTGAGAGAGCTCTTGACAGAAACTGCTCTTTTTCAAGATCAGAACTACGGCTTGCCCAAGGTCATCCAGCAAGTGCAAGAGTAGGAGTGGGGAATCAAACCCGGTTCTCCCAGATTAACCACGACACCAAACTGGTAGATCATGCCAGGTGAAATAGGGGAGTCTCACTTGATAAATTACCATCAAACCAGGCAAAACAGGAATGCATTGCAAATCAGTTGGTTTTTTCCCTGCTGTTTTTGCTTCTCTGTAATACTTTGAACCCGCTGTCACACTCTTGCTGTTACTCAGTGTTTGCAATAAGGTGATAGGACATTTAGCAGAAAGAGCATGCCTCGATGTATTGAGCAAGAAGCTGCGTATTAGAAGGAAGATGGCACTGTTGCCAAAAATGGCAGCCCCGTGTTGAGTTCTCCCTGCTATAATGTGTAGTATGATTTATAACTCATGTCCTGCCTAGAGATGTAAAATTTCCGGAAATTCTGAAGCTCGGAACACCCCCCCCCCCCCGGTTTTTTCCGTTTTTTTCGGGGGGAAATGGAAATTTTCGGGAAAATTGAAAAAATGCTACATTAGCATTTCTTTTGTCTTTTCTAAATTGAAAGTCATTCTGTTACTTTAGGAACATAAAATATGACTATGGACATTTTTACTTGGCATGAAATGATCACAACTAGCATATTAAAAAAATTTCAAACAGAATACTCACCCACATGCAAAAACAAAACTGAAATTTTTATTTTCTTCTGACAATCGCACCTCCTAAAGGAAGAAATGCATCTTGTTCTTGCATTGGAGGGTTCAGTTTGTAACCTAGGACTTGCTTGTCCTCAGTGCACAGAAATTAGATCAATCTGATACCATATATGTATATATTTTAGAAATGATTTGGAAAATATTTGAACACCTTGTCTTAAAATATTTTATTCATCATGTTAAAATAAAACGTTCCATAATCATTTTTTTTCTTTTTTTCAATTTTTCGGAAAAAAACAAAAAGGCTTCAGGGAAAAAACGGAAAAAACCCGTTCCCCCCCCCAAATTTTTCCGGTTTTTTCCCGGGCCTTCACATCTCTAGTCCTGCCAACATTATGCTAAGTGACTTCTCACCTCTGCTCCATATCAGTTGGCTGCTATTGGTGGGGTGGGGACCAGGCAGTGCTCAGTATAGTGGTGGGACAATATAAAGTAGGTGTCATCATTTGTGGCAGAGGGGGGTCTTACATGGGCTGTGATTTTGGGGTGGCAATCCTGTGTTTTGTATAACGTGTAGTTCTGCCGTATGAAAGGGACAACTTGAACCTTTTGTACATGGTGGGTTGACTACAGGTGCCCTGTAGGTACCT